CCTGACTTGGAAGCTCATTTGTTGGCCTGCAAAGGTTTTTTTTTATTTTAAGCAGAAAAAAACACTGTACTGGGGACTTGAAGGTCAGATAAAATAAACATCTAGGGATATAAATAAGAAAAACAGCGTGAAGACAGAAGTTTTCTGTCAGTTATCTCAATAAGCGTGAATGAAAATCTTTTTTTCAAGACATTTAGATTAGTTTTGTGAAAGGTACTGTGTAGGATGCTAGCCGTACTTTTTAATTTGAATTTACATATTAATATAATAAAAAGATACTAACACAAATTTCAGACATGCTAAAACTTAATTAGTACAAAATAAGTCCAAGAATCACTGTGGTAACCACTGAAATGGGAACTATGCCTGTCAGTCACCTGTAATACAACTTAATTACATCAGCATTTGAGCATATACAGCCTTTGCCTCTTCCAAGATCTCTGTAAAATACAGACCTCGTTTGCTCTCATACAAGGTTTCATATCCAGGGTAGCTTATCAAACCACTTCTACCTAGGAAATGGTATTATCTAAGAAATGTATAGCTAAGAAATACATGCCCAAAAGCCTGCTTCTTCTCTTCTCTGTACAGATCCTTTAAAAATAATTAGCTGATCCTTCATGCAGAGGACTTAAAAACACTGTCATATTACACAAAAATGGAGACAAATTTAGAAAACGGACTTGATATGGAATTAGATTGGGGGAAAATTACTTCAGATAGAAATGGTAGAAAATTCAGGTTCCATGAGATTTCTCTCAACAGTCACTCACAGGAATTTCTGCAAGCAAAAATGAGCAACTCTATGTAGGAATCATAGATTTTCAAACCTTGTTATTTGTAAGAGTCTTTGTAAGAAAGCCTGCAGGGAAAATGCTAGACTTTATTTTAACTCCTCTGCCTTCTCCACAGCTAACATGTTTTATGAGAGAATTAACAAAACTCATTTAATAGTCATTATGTTTTCACACAAACACAGAACAGTATTGAAGGGAAGAAAACTTGATGCTTTTTTGCAAAGAATAACCAAAATCCTTTGTCAGTTATTTGTTCTCTTTCTGAGTAAAGAACCATTTGCAAGCAGATCCTGGAGCCTGCCTGTACTTTCCCTCTCCCCCAAAAAAGCTGCAGCAGCAGAGTCCCTGTCCCATTTCTCAGAGATCCATTTCCACCACAGCTATGAAAACTCAGCTGCAGCATCAAGAACACACACAGAGCTCTGACCACATGCTACAAATAATGCCATATCTTGGACCATAATATATAAATTCAGGAGTCAAATATTCACATATGAGATAAAGCCAGTTACTAATCTGAAATTACATTTATTTCCAAAAACTCCAGGCATTTCTCCAAAAATCCCAGTACAGCAATTGAAGCTTTCCATGATAAAGACTTGACACTCCACACGTGCTAAGGTATTTCTATAAAAATGTGGGAAATGCCAACTCAAGTCATTGTCTGATAGAAACGCAACAAGGAGGTGAGACGTCTGCATCTTGTCTGCATTTTATATAAATTAGAGCATATTAGTAGGGCAGCCAGGAAGAGGCTGCCTGAACCAGCACATGCACGGTACAGCCTGCAGCTGCAGCAGCCACAGACTAAGCGCCCTCAGATGGGCCGAGTCCAGGATGGCTCTCAGAGCCAGCAGACAAACATGTAACACAAATAGAACAAAATAGAAAATAAAAAGATCTCTGATCTCTGCCAAGCTCATCCCTCAGATGCTAGGTGGCCATGGCACAGGATCGCCCAGCCCTAGGGAAGCCTGGCAAGGCAGGATGACAGCAGAACACATGAACAGGCAGTCAGGTGTTGAATGCTGAGCAAATGCAACTTGGAAGAGGTAGAGGGGTGGGATCATCTGTGTTTCTATTTTATTTTTAAGTCAGCTACTTCCAAAAGCAGTTTACCTACAAGAAAGATATAAACACCTTTATTATTTCTAAGGAAAATTCCCAGATTGCCGAGTCTTTCGCAACGCACATTATTCCTGCTTGAGCTGGTTCCTAAAGGCACATTCACTAGCACAGTTCCCCGAGTTTAAAGCCTTTCCACTTGGACCACTGCTTTGGCTGGAGGAGACATGCCCTTCTCACCCTCACAGCAGTGGCACCGGGAGACCTGTGGAAAGAGGGTGGGACCGACTGTGGATGACACCGGTGTGGGCGTGAAGCTTCTCGGGACACATCCACACGCACACTTGTGACCAAAAGCGGCTTGGCAGAAAAGGCCCCGCGGCTCCTGGTGGACACCACGCTGCCCAGCAGCTAGCAAGGTGCTGTTGCCCAAAGGCGGTGGCGAGCGGTACCCTGGGCTGCACTGGGAAAGCCTTGCCAGCAGCTGGAGGGAGGTGACCCTGCCCCTCTGCCCAGCGCTGGGGAGGCCATGCCTGCAGTGCTCTGCCCGGGTCTGGGCTCCCCACTACGAGAGAGACACCGGCATACTGGGGAGAGCCCCCCCCACCCGTGCCCCTCCCCCACCCGTGCCCCCCAGCACGACCGTTGGGGTCACAGTGCCATGCTGGGGTATCCCGGCGCTGGCCCGGCAACAGCCCCAGTGCCTACCGGACGTCGCCGTGCCAGCACCGAGTGCTACTGGGGTCTCGCCCAGGAGCACTCTCTGGCACTGCCACCCCCTCGGCAGCCCTACTTGCGCCGCTGGGGCACTGCCCCAAACCCCTAAGAGCAGTGGTCTGCGGGATTCTCCCGGCCTTGACGGGATGGGCCAGCTCAACTGCTGCCGCGGCCCCAGGTGAGCTCCCCCCGCGGCCAGGGGACACGCCGGCACAGCCGGGCCCCCCAGCAGCCGCCTTGCTCATGCCCGATGCCGTCTGCTCTGCAGGGAGGACCCTGAGCCCGTGCAGGAGAGTGTGCCTGTCCCGGCGGCACCGCAGCCACTGCTCCGCCACCGTGTGCGGGTGGCCCAGGGCCGCACGACGAGGAAGAGGGACCTCCTCCTCTTCAGGGAAACCCTGGTCATCGCCAAGCCCGAGTAAGACTCGCAGACCCCGGCTGCCCTTTCTCCCAAGCCCTGGCCCTGGCACAGCAGGGCAGGGACACCCAAGGAGCAGCCCCAGGCCCCCGGCACCCTGGTGCTGGATGCCCCCATGGCCATGCCCGTGGCAGGAGCACGGTAGAGGGGGAGCCACGGGGCTCGGCCACCTCCAAGTCACTCCCTGCCGCTCCTCTCCGCAGACGTGGCAGCTCCCCGCGCCCGCAGCTCTGCCTGGCCCTGGCCCAGCTGCAGGTGCTGAGCGGCGGGACGGGGGCGGCTGGGGATGGCACCCGGGAGGAGGAAGGCAAGAACACCAACTCCCTCGTCCTCGTCTGGCCCTGCGGCTGTAGTGTCGTCACTTTCCGGTGAGTCTCCGTGCCACGTCCCACAGCAGGACCCGGCAGCGCCTCGGTCCTGCCCCACGGGGCTGCCTCCTGCCTCTGTAGCCGTCCCCACGGGGCAGGGCTGTGCCGGCGCCCGCCTCTGCCCGCAGGCTGGGGAGCAGCAGGCACTCAGGCTCTTTCTCCTCTCTTCCTCAGCTCCCAGGAGGTGAAGGAGCTCTGGCTCAGCGCGCTCAGTGGGTAAGCCCAGCCTGGCGGTGCAGCCTGGGGGGCCCGTGCTCACATCACGGCGGGACGCTCCAGGCCTGGGAGAGCTCCCCCCGCGGCTGCAGCCAGCTCTCGAGCGGGCAGAGCTGGCGGAGCTGCTCTTTGCCCAGCCCCGTCCAGCCAAGCCCCCCCCAGCCCCTGGCCCACCACTGCCACCGCTCTCCGCTCCACTGCCCGGCGCTGCCCGGCTGCTTTGGGGCAGCTTGGAAGTGCTCCCCACTGGGCTGGCAGGAGAGGGCAAAGGCAGCTTCGGTCTCACACAGCTCTTCCTCCGACCCTTCCCCATGCACAGGCCACCAGAAGGAGTGCAGGGAGCCCGGGTGACCCAGCTGCCCTCCATCAAGCTCCTGCTGAAGCAGCTGAGTGGCCGCAAGGCAGTGAGTGGCCCTCTCGTCTGTGCTCTGCCCCCGCATGCTGCTCCAGCCTGGCATCAGCTGCATCGCTTCTCACCTTCTGCTCTTTGCCTTTTTCCCCTTGCTCAGGCGACGACACTACACGCCAGCAGCCTGGAGAGGCTCGTCGAGGGCCAGGCAAAGGTTAGGCTCGGCCGGGGTGCCATCCTGGCCATCCCCACCTCTGACAGGTGGCCAGGGGCTGCTCTGGCTCAGCAGGGGCCCTTTCTGCTGCGGGGCTGCTCGGTGAGCACAGCACATTTCTTGCAGGCTGCTGCAGAACAGCAGCCACCACCCGTCCCCTCCAGCAGCGAAGGCGGACGTGGCCACTCGGCTGGTGAGTTGGGACAAGACGGGGGCAGGACGTCCCTTCTCTGCCCCCCTCGCAGGGGGGCACTCGCGCTGCTGCTGCTGCCCTTCTCGCAGGGCACATCCATCCCCACCGCTCTGTGCAGGAGAGAGCTGAGTCCCCGGCGCCCCCCGTGCCCAAACAACGCCTCTCCCTTGCGCTCGGCGGCAGGGGGGACGGCTCTGAGGGGCTCCGGGAGCGCTCGCCCGGCCGTACTCACGCAGGGGTTTTTGCGCTCTTTCCCTTGGCACCAGGCGGCACCTGCAGGAGGAGGAGGGGGCTGACCTGGCCCTTTGCACGCCGAGGGACCTCGGCTGCTGCAGAGGCGCCCGGGCCGTCGGGCTCTGGCGCCGGGGGGGCTCTCTTTGGCCGGCCCCTGGCAGCTCTCTGCAGCCAGGACGGCACGCTGCCCTAGCCCATCCAGGTAAGCAGGGCTGGCCAGAAGGAGGGGAGGGTCCCCATCCCGCTGGCTCCTCTGGAGAGGTGGTGTCCCAAGCACAGGCACCCTGCCTGGGGCCCGGGGACAAAGCCATCTCCTCCCCCCATCCCCAGCCTCCAGCCACCCCTCCATCCCGCCCCAGTGAGAGACACGGAGCCGTCCGTCCACGCTCACTCCGGTCCCTCAGGAAGGTCTGCCTGCCCCAGGGCCTGTCTCCAGCCATCAACTGTCCCCCTCTGTCCCCTCAGGACCTGCTGGCTCTCCTTCACGAGCACGGGCCATCCACGGAGGGGATCTTCCGGCTGGCGGCCGGCGAGCGCGCCTCGCGGGAGCTGCGGGAGGCCCTCGACAGCGGAGCGGAGGTCCACCTCCAAAGCCAGCCTGCGCGGCTGCTGGCCGTCATCTTGAAGGTGAACCCGGCTGACCTGCAGCCCGGCAGCTCCCGCCTCTGTCGCTGCTGACGGGCGCCTGCGAGAGCAGCAGCCGAAACCCAGCCGCCTGCTCTGCTCCCGAGCCAGAGTGCCGGGGGTGCTGCCCGTGCTCCCGGCAAGCAGCGGCCAAGGCCTCACCCGGTGCCCTTGGCATTGCAGGACTTCCTCCGCAAGATCCCCTCCAAGCTCCTCGAGGCAGAGCTCTACGAGGAGTGGGTGAGCGCCCTGCAGAAGACCAGCAGGCAGGAGAAGCTGGCGGCACTGAAGGAGTGAGTGTGGCGAGCAGCCTGCCTGCTCCGCGGGGACTGGCAGAGGCCGGGACTCGCCCGCACGGCGGCAGCCTCCTTGCAGAAGCTGTGCCTTCAGCCAGACACCTCTGGGCGCTGTGGGCTCGGGTTCTGGGGGCACGTGGCACAGCAGGGCACTTCTCTCCTTGGAGCTCTTCCCGCGGGCCCTGGGGGTGGCTGCACCAAGGGCCTCTTGCCAGCAGGGCCAGGAGGGAGGGAGGTGGCCGCATCTCAGCGGAGGCAGTCCCTCTGCTGTACAGCAGGGGTGGCCAGGGAGCCTTCCCTCGGCCTGGGGTCAGCCTGGGAGGGAGGCCTGTGCTGACAAGGTCCAGTTCAGGAACGGTGTCTTCCTGTTCCCTCAGGGTGGCCAGCAAGTTGCCCAGCGCCAACCTCCTCCTCCTCAAGAACTTGCTCATCCTGCTCCGAAACATCAGCACAAACGTGGCCACCAGCAGGATGAGTGCCGGCAACCTGGCCATCTGCGTGGGGCCAAGCCTCCTGAGCCCAGCCGAGGAGCACACGCTTCCCCTGGACGTCCTGGTGCAGGAGACGGGGAAGGTACGTGGTGTTCCCCAGCCGGCTACAGCCTTCTGGGCCCACCCGGGCTTTGCTGTTCAGAGGTACCTGGCTGCCTCCTCTCTTCAGCAAACGCTCGTGGCGGAGCTGCCGGGAAGAGCAGCCCCACAGCTGCGCACAAGCGAGGCTCGGGAGTGGGGAAGGCTGTTGCACCTCGCTGGAAACCCGTGCTGTGCTGTGTGCAGGTGACGCGGCTGGTGGAGTTCCTCATTGACCACCACGAGGAACTCTTTGGGGAGGAGGTGGCCGAGCTTGGCAGCGCATCGGCCGAGGAGCAGCCGGCACCGGCGCTGGGAGGAGGAGCAGCAGAGGTACGTCAGGGCCACACAGAGCGTGACAACAAGAGCCTCCCCCTTCAGAAGGTGGGACTGCTGCCGCAGGGACAGGCAAGGTCATCCACAAGCCTGCAGCTCTCCAAAAGCGCCCAGTAAGGTGGATGCAGGTGGCCCGCTGCACTTTGTGCACTGTTCCCACCAGACCGGCCTCAGCTGGGCTCAGCAAACCCATCCAAGGGATCTGCCTTTCAGAGCTAAGGGAGCACTTGGGCAGCTGGGTCCTTGCCACCTCTTAAATTCCACCTTTCTGTTGCAGGTGGCCCCGCTCGCTCCAGAAAGAGAACACCTGAGGAGCTCATCTGCGGAGAGAAGGTAAAATGAGCTAGCTTTGATTAAGAGCAGAATTGGTACCCGTTTATCATGGCTTTACCTGCCTAACAATGCTATGGAATGGAAAGGTTGCCAGGGTCTTCTTGAGGAAGCAGAAAGCGGAAAACAACTTGGAGCGAGGAGGGTGATGGGCAACCGGGCCGGAAGAAGGCCAGGCTGTAAAGAGAGCTCTCAGCCATGGGCGAGTGAGGAAATCCAAGCAGGCAACACCAACCAGAAGCCCAGGTGTGTAACAGACCCTGCCCTCCATCCTTCCAATTTTACTGCTGCTCCGAGGGTAGGAAATATTCCCGAGGCGCACAGAGATGGCGCCAGACAGGAAGCATGCGCCTGCCCTTGGGAGAAAGTGTCTGTCAGGAGAAAAATACAACTCCAGCACTGGCAGTTTCCTTGTGGAACTTGTTGAGGGTCTGTGCAAGGCTCAACAGGCACCCCTGCAAGGTCACAAGACTCACAGTTTTGAGCTCTTTGACCTGCTACCTGCAGGAAGAGGCAAAGTCCCACGTTTCTATTCGTGCCAGCTTCCTGGTAAGGGGGCCCTGAACATCTCTGGCAACTTGCCGTGCCCCGGGCTTATTGCCTGTGCTGCGGAGGGGCCAGAGCAGCACCGGCGTTGCTGCCGCTAAGGGTTCTCTCCCCTGGGCCACGACCCGAGCCCTTTGTCCTCGGACTTCCCAAAGAACGGGGATCAAAGTCACGCCTCTTGCCGCCCTCGTGGTTCCATCAGCGCTTTCTGACTCTGCCCTCGTAGGTGCCCATTTAGTTCTGCTGCTTGGATTCCCCGCACGAGCTCTGACGCCCGGCCTTCGAGGAGCACGCTGCAGCCCCAGCACCACCTCGGTGGAGGCGAGGAGAGAGGCACCGTGCCGCCCTGCTCCGTCCAGCAGACTGCAGCGTCACACCGCTAAGCCGCAGCGGCCCCGCACCGCCCTCAGAGCCATCCCACCCTTCGCAGGAGGCCTTGCTGGCTCACTCACCAGCTCCGTCAGCCCATGCCCACCAGCTGGCACGTCTCCCCAGGTGGGGAGCTGGCATCTGAAATGCCGATTCCAGGGAGCATCCTGCGCATGGCGGTGCATATCGTCTGGGAGGGACACGCGCGACGTGCTGCACAGCATCTTCCATATTATAAAGCCCTCCTGGTTTTAGTTACAGCTACTCGTGCTCGGCTGAGAGGTGCCGAACCAACTTGTACCTGCTCAGTCTATGGTCAGGGTCCATGGATTAGGAAACAACGGACAGAGACTCAATTATGAGTGCAGAAGGGGTTTCTGGTAGCCTGTGACACAACTCCCCTGACACTTCCGAGTGCCTGTTAAGAAGGTGGATAATGCCAGCAGAGCTGCTGCATCAGCAACAACTTTCTTGCGCCTTCTGCTGCAGATCAGCTCTCTCTGGACTGACGCAGACACACCCCTTCCTCTCAGTCATGACCAGAGCTTTGAAACTAGCTTTTCCCAAAGCTCCAACTACTTCAACAGCCTCTCTTGTTTTGATCCTCGAGCCCTGGATGATGTGTAATGGTGTCGAGCTCCTTTCCGAAGGGAAGACACAAGTGCCAGGCACAAGAGGGGAAAGAAACTGCACAGCTGATCTGCAGGTCTTGCAGGGATTGTGCAGGCGTCACCAGAGCACGGAAATTCAGGTGCAGCTCTCCCAGCTGGCATCTGAAGTGTTTCAGAGACAATGCCATCTTTTCTTCACAGGCAAAGCCTCGCCTGATACCCTCAGCAATTGCTACCCTAAGTAATTAAACTCCCAGCTGTTCGGAGCTCTGCACTATGGAAAAATCAAAGGGTTCTAGAGAGTAATCCCTAAGTCACTTCGGGGGGGAAAAAACAAAAAACAAAACAAACAAATCCCTCTGTACTCAAGAGGGAGAAACATCAGATGTTGCGAAGTCTTTCTTCCCATTTCCCTGCTGTTCGTTTACCCGCCTCTGTGGCTAACTGAGAACTGCAGATCAGCCTTTGGTCTGGAGCTGCTGGCCGGAGACGACGGTGCTCTGGTACACGCAGCTGCCTGCTTGCTAGTGCTTTCGACAGACTTACAGCCTCTGCTAAAACGTGGCCATAGAAAGTTCTGCCCCGTTCTCTTTTCTGTACCACGCGTGTCCCAATGCATAGTGCAACCAAACCACTTAATAAATAAAGGACTATGGAAACAGCATTAGGAAATGACTGCAGGCATCCCAGCCGTCTGCAGACAAGGCCGCCTCAAATCCGAGTACTGACAGAGGGACGAGTTTGTAATGGGACTGCTTGGCCGATAGGTGCCTATTCCCCTTGCCTTTGCCGGAATACGGTGTACGGACTGTCTGCAGTCCTCAGCGTTTCTTCCCATGTGCTGCTTTTTACAATTTCTTACTATTTCTTTACAGAAATAAAGTTTCAAATGTCTATCTGGCCAGTCTCCGTATTTGGACGAGTCCCTTCCCTTTCCCCCTACCTCTCCCCTTCCTCCCTTCCCCTTCCCCTCCCTCTTCCCTTCCTTTTTTCTTCCTCTCCCCTTCGCTGTGTTTCACCGCTCGCACGCTCTGGTATTTCACAGTCGTGGATGTGACAGAGCCCAGAACTTCAGTTAACGGCACGGTGTCCTGTGACATAAGGACACAGATCTCTTTCACCTTTCTTCTGGTTTTCAGGTCACGTCAGTCCACACTCAGCTGTGCAGCTACGGCACAGCTCTGCGTTACTCATGCTTACACCCTGGCATACCGTAAGACTTCATAAGCATGTATTAGTGTAGTGGAGGAAGTCTGTGAAAGCTACTCTTCACAAAAGCAACCTTTTTTAAGCTCAGGCCTAAATTCCACGGAAGCCAGAGTGGATTTTAAATCTAGGCTTCAGAATAAGCACGTCTGCACACACGGCCTACGTGCAGGGGAATGCAAGTGTAAGATTAAGCTATCCTGAGCTGGAGTCTCCTCTTGGAAGACTATGTAAGACACAGGCATGCCTATTCTGCTGCATTTTGACATTTCCAGAGTAAAATTTATTCCTCTTTGAAATGGAACAAATCAGCATCAAAATGATAATTTTAAAAGCCATAAATTACTTTGTCCAGACCTGATAAAATGCACGGTATTTTTTTAAGGAAATCAGTTTCTTTAACGTGACTTTGTAACTTTGGTGACAAATGGACATAGCCAGGCCGCATCAGGAACACTAACACAGTCGAGTCTGCCCCTCTTTTGCATTTTTTCCTTTCTAAGAGGGAAAAATACTGACCATCAGTCACCTGGTTTATAGCTTTAGCTTGATTTTTTAAATACATCTAACGTATTTCAGCTTCATCTAATTAGTAAAACGTACTGTGCCTAGGAACTCTCATTTCCTAGTCACCTGCATTTCTTGCCAAAGAGAAAACCACTTCCTCTACTACAGCAACCGTATGCAACGGGCCCATCCAAGCTGTCCTTCGGAAAGGCTTCCAAATGCAACTGCCAGGCAGCACGAAAAACAATTCTTAGATGGTCGCTTTAATGGTTGTTAAACAACACTTCTCCGTCTCAGGGCACCACCACCAGGAGTGTCACAGGGAGCCTCTCAAGCCGCAGGACCCTTTGGTTGCTGCTGTAGCTGGAGGCAGGGCAAATGTCAGCATGCGTTTGGGCTTGTGAAGCTCTTCAGAGGGCAAAGAGCAGCTCTGACTACCTCAGCCCAAAGGTCTCTGAGAAGCTAGAAATCCCCGTGGCTGCTTTTTGGTGGGTGCTTTGGTTTGTTGGCAATGTCAAGCGAGCAGCAGAACTTCCAAAAGTCCAAAGTCACTTGGACAGTCGGCCACCACCCCTTAAAGTAGCTCGTGTGCAAAGAACGGAGCTTGACTCTCACAGGTGTCCCGTGCAAGGGGGCTCGGCTGCTTTTCCACTGTGAGTAGCAACCCTTGACCTCTTGCAAAAGCTGCCGTCGTACTTAAACCCTGCCTTCCCCTACCTATACCTATGTCAAATTATTGTAGGCGTTACCAAAAATACAATCATCTTCTTAGGTGGGACCTGGGAGCTTATTCAAGTCATTTCAAGGTCTTGTTTTCCTCAGAAGGGCAGCTCTCAATGACAGCACACACAGGCTATTAGGGAACAGGCATCCCGCATAGAGAGAGGCCCCCCACATCCTTTCATCTCCTCTACCTTCCCACTAGCCCTGTGCTGAGCAGTTGAGTGACCAGAAGGTCCAGACTTGTGTCTGGGTCCTGACCCTGAGGTTGCCTTGCCATTGCAGCATCAAGTGGTGACGCTTTGCTTTGTAGCACCACACTTGCCATGTGGGAAGGAGGAGGAGTCAAAAAAGCCAGCTTAAATGGAGCCCAGAAACCCCGGTAGAACGCCAGTGACAGATGCAAAGATAAAATACGTGTTTGCTCCCCTAGCTAGCTCACTTTTCAGCCATCCAATACATCCTCCTCCAGTCACTCATCTTTGCAAATATCCCGTGCTTGAGCAGGAGCTTTTGCACTCCTGGAAACTTTTCCCTACCACTCCTGCTAGCTGGCTTACAGACTCTGCTGCTCACTCTTTCTCTCTCTCTCCCCACCTCCCCTCTCCTGCACCCCGACCATTTCTTTCTAACTTGCATGAACAAATCCTTAGTGTCAACAAAGGCAGAACAGGGCACATTCCAAACAACATCCATTTAACCAAATTTTGGCCAGAAAGGCATGCCATGGTGCATTGTGTCTGTTTAATTAGAAATACACCTACTCTCTGCCAAGGAGCCATTTCAAACTCTGCTGTGCAAACACGGCTGTATTTGAAACTTCAGTCACAGGAATTTGCAATATTTTGGAACTAACCTAGTGCATTGAAAGACAAGACATTTTGCCTCTTTAATTGTTATAGATCACGTTACCTGGGTTGCTCCTCATGTACTCTTTATTGTGGTTAATGTACTGGCCTTGGAGTGTTTTAGCACAATTAGGAAATAATCATTTCTTCATTTGAGTGTGATGATCCAGATCTCTGCTCTTTTCCTCTAAAATAGAAGAAATTATTTGCCCATCACAATGCCATACATAAAATTATTATGATGGTGAATGTGATGAATGACTCAGTCCTAAGCGGCTGATAAGGACCACTGTAATTAGGACATTCCTTCACTTCCGTCCTTCTATTTTTATCCAGGTCTTTACTCCTTATTCTGAAGTATCGTTGTTCTAGGTATCAGCCAGACAACACATAGACACAGCACTGCTGCTCAGCAAGTCAAGAAAACTGAGGGATGACCTAGAGTTAAAACCTTTTTGCTCTTTGCACCTCTCCAACAGAAAAATCTATTGGAACAGATGGTTACAATCTCACATTAGCTCCCACCAGCTGATCAGAGTTTGCGGCTGCTGCTCCATCAGGTGTGGGCACCACGAGGGTGCCAGTGGGATGGGGCACGGCAGCACCCCTGGCCCGGCATCGCTCCCTGCAAGGATGCTCCCATGGTGGAGTTTGAACTAAAAGGCTTTGGAGAAGAGGACATCGGCTCCACAAATTTAATGCCATTCCTCTTCCCTTAAAAATCAGCAACTTCTGTAGATCCCTGCAGGATCACATGTTTGAGCCTCTAGATCCACCAGGACTCTCCCTAGGGGAGCAGCCAGCACGCATCTCCATCGGATGTTGGGGGACAGACAGCGATCTCTCGGCTTTCTCACGTGTTGTGTCACTGATCAAAAGGAGAGAACCAGTTTGCTTCTGCTGGTGAAGTGAAGAATACAACCTTGATGAGTTTGGGACTGAATGAAACTTCTATCTTAACAGAATTTAAATTTTTTTTTACTTTTTTTACTTTTCAAATTTAAAGGTAGGTAAAATATCTCACAATGGAATATATTTAGATTAAATCAGCAAATAGTTCATCAAAAAAAGTCTGTTCCATTTGCATTTTTTCAACAGATAAACTATTTGTCAAAAATATGT